GAATGGCGTCAAAAACAAGGTGATGCCTTTGTTGTACAACAGTTGGTGTACACAGATGACACCCTGATCAACCCATTTTTCTAAGAAAAGAGATTTGTGTTTGAAGCATATATCTTTGTTATTCCATATGTAATATTTTTGTGGTGAGAAGTTGTTCTTATATATTAAAGTCCAACATAACAGTAACTGTTAGTGAAAGTTAGAGAGTTTAGTTGGAAGCTTATCAATGCTATAATCACACCTCAGAATAAAATTTAAACCTCCTAATGCATCAAATATATGTGTTGAAATGAAATTCCATAATAAATGTGGGTTCAATAAATATCTTTTAATCCATTCAATTTGGAAAAAGGAATGTAGAGTCTGAAAATCTAGAACGTTAAATCCACCATTACTTAAATGATTAATCATTACATTTTTTCTAATGAGGTGTGTTTTTTTTCTCCCAGATAAAGTCAAATAAGTTTTTGTCTACTTGTGCATGAATGTTTTTTGGTACATCAAGAGCAGAGCTGATATAGACTAGACTAGAGAGTGTGGGCTTCTTCCCTGTGTTTTTAAAGTTTCATTTATGTTAATTCGCCCTGTACTGAATCCCTGTGTACAATAATATGCTGTGTATGTTTTTGGACTTTGGAGTGTCAGTGGGGTTGGGATATGATGTCATATGGACGGTGAATGTATATGGGACAGATAAGGGGTGTGTCTCTGTAGTGGGAACATATAAGTTGGTCCTGAGACCAATTCACCAGGCCTGCATGCCTGCACGAAGTCAATATTATGCTTATACAACTCGCTATCTTTTAGTAGGGGATTGTGCCAAGGACACTGTGTTTACGAAAAACAGGGCACCCTGCCCCATTGCCAGTCTCAAAAGACTGGACATGGGACAGGAATGCGCCTCCATGTATGTGTGCGCGGTGGAGACTGGCCCTCTCTGCACGCACAGGTGCATGAAGAGAATATATAGAGGCGGAGGGAAAGCACCCACTTTAGAGTCTGCTGCGGGTTGCGTACGAATGCCCAGCCGGGTTTAAGCCACTCTGCCGTGGGTTGTTGGCTCTCCAGCCCAGTGTCAACGGTGAGTTTGATTTTCTTATGTGCCAGTTTGTGTGATGATTGATGCTTAAACCCATTGATTGATTGATATGATTGTAACAATGTTAAGCGGGGAGTAACCGGACACATTTGTTCTAGCTTCATTGTAACAATTATTGAGCGGGGAATAAACAGGCACATTTATTCTAGCTTGTTGTAACAATGTTAAGCGGGGAATAGACAGACACGTTTACTCTAGCTTCATTGTGTGCTGGCATTGATTGATGTGAAATAGTGATTGCCTGGTTGTGACTACTTCCCACGAACCTTTTAAGATATTTCACAAAACAGTCTCCAACCTTTAGCATCTGCCAGTCTGTGATAGGACACGTGTTGGGACAAAAGTGCTGTGTATGTTTCCATGAAGATGTGAACTCAACAGTTCTGCTGGTATAAAAGGACCCAGTTTTTCTGTGCATGAGTTGGGGAACGTCGACTGCGTTGTCGAGGACGACCGACGCACGCACAGAGAGACGCCGCGTAGGCAGAATCCTGCTGAATCAACTTGAATCTTGAGACCTGAACCTGCCTGAACCAGTAAAGAGACATGTCTGAGAACTGTTCTAACTCTCCAAGCCTCTTTCTTAAGATCCTCTGTTCAGGCTGCCTCCAGGAGAAGCTGACAAGAGCCCTTCAGCTTTGGAGAGTAGGATTCTGATAAGTCCCTTTGAAGCCACATGTTCAGTTTAGTTTGAATTCTATGCATAAGAGGGTTAAAGTTTTCAGCTTTTTCTTCTTCTTCTTTTATGATAGTAACAACCAAGTATTTCACTTTTTATTTCACCGGGATTCCTGATATTAATTTGAGTCCTGAAGCTAAGGAAAATGTGGTTAATAAGTTGATAGCATAGTTTACCTGAGAACAATCATTTAAAAAGAGAGCTGTGTCGACAGCACGCTGACTTACACATATTTCTCTTCCTGCAATAGATATTCCTTTAAGGTCACTATTCTTAATATAATTGGCTAAAATTTGCATGGGTAATAAAAATAGAAAAGCAGAAATTGGGCAGCCCTAGTGTATTCTACGTTCTATATTAAATCTATGAGTTGTTCCATGGGGCAGTTTTATAGAGCTGTTCCCAGATATATACAAGGTGTGAATGGAGTTTTTAAAAAGCTCACCAAAGCCAAATAAATCAAGAGCTTTAAGCACAAACTGGTGTTCTAATGAGTCGAATGCTTTATGGAAGTCCAAAAATAGAATGAAACTGTTTTCTGAAATAAGATCTTAATCATCTAAAATGGCGAGGATGAGTCTAATACTGTCAGTGATATATCTCCCATAAAGCCGTTCTGCGACTCCTCAGTTATATCATTGAGTATTTTCTTTAACTTGGTGGCCAGGCAGGTTCTCTGTTTGTTGAAAAATGTATAGTCAGTGCAATTACTTTGTGATCTGTTAGAGGTGTGGGAGTAATTTCTGTTTTGTATTTGAAGTGTGAAATTGATTCCGAGACAAGCCAGAGATCTATTCTGGATTGTAGCGTACCGTTTCTCTTTTTCCGAGTGAATTCTCTATTATGTGGATTATTTGTTCTCCACATATCAATGAGCCCTCTTTCATTCATGAACTCTGTTAAATATAAGTGAATATTATTTTTGCTGGGGTACCTGTCCACATCATCATTGGGTGTACAGTTGAAATCCCGTCCTAATATTATCTTTAAATCTGAAAATCTTTCTAAAATGCTTTCTATTGCTGTATTTAAGTCATGAAATAACTTTTTATTTTTCCTTTACCACAGATAATTTATAAACACTGTTAGAAATGAACTTTTCTTAATTATGAATTATTAACAAAACAATACTATTATTGATTTAGCACAGAAAATGCAGCTCTATCCATTGTTAGGGTTAGGTCAGCATCTATGATCATCTACATTCATGTGTATTGGAAATCTGTGTGTTGTATGTAAAATACATATTACATAATACATCATCTTTTGATGGCATCTGGTGGTAGAAATGCAAAAACAACGAGATTATGCATGCAAACATATTTATTATCTTTAGCTAGAACTAAAATGACAAAAATAAATACAAGTGGAATAACTGAAGGCAAGTGAAATAGTTGGAATAAGTCAGGGGCTATTCAAATACGACATACAAGAGGAAACATTGCTTATGCTGTTGGCTGCCAATGTTCTTATCAGCTTGTTGAGGTCAAGTTTAGGCTCAGGCAGGTGACAGGTGACTTAATATCGGACAGAAACTGTTCATCTTCAGACACACAGTGGTATTTCACTAGCAAGGGCCACGCCACCACAATGGAATACGGTAAAGATATTTCTTGATGATGGTGAGATGTGGTGGCTGGGAGGAGACTCTGGATGGGGGCTCTGTCTCAGGTGGTCAGCCGGACCAATTCAGGACCCACCCTTTGTAGACGATGAGGTCTTCGAGCTGAAGGATGAACGAGAGGTACGGGGTGGGAGGGAGGGGGTAGAGAGAGCAGAGACAGACGGTGTTGTTGGGATAGGCCTGTATAAATAGGGCTTTTTGGGTAATTGAAGGTGCGGTTGAGCTGAGCTTGGTTCACTGGAGAGGAGCAGGGGGAGGTTGAGGCGTGGTCCTACTCCTGAATCTAAGAAGACAACAGACCGGAAGACAATTAAATAGAATACATTTTGTTGTCCACCATGAATGCACTTAAAAATGAGTTGTGCGTAAGGACAGTGCATTACAGTACTTACATTATGGTGTTTAAGGAAAATGTTCAGGTTTCCCAGAGCAGAGTGTTGTGTAGCATTACAGTGTTGGTAAAGGATGCCATGCGCCGCTCGGACAGGGCACAACCTGTGTGAATGCTGTTGCTCAGCAGAAGTGTGGGAAGGAGGCTGAAAAGTGTCCACATTCACTTAGGTACAGGCGTCAACCAGTTTTGGAATAAAGGCCGAAACAGGGTGCAGGGCCACTCTGAGATGATCAGAGCTGAATCGCATACAAGACAGAGGCACTGATAAAGTCTGAATATCACTGACACGCTTGGCAGTGGCCTTCCACTTCTGTCCCTGGATATAAGATACATGGATATAAGCCTCCTTCCTCCCCTCCTCCTCTCCACAGTACTAGCTCACTGGAAGAAAAAAACACAAATAAATGTTAATCAGCCTCCCTCCTGACCCAGCCTGGACCTTGTGCAAAAAACACAAATATTCAATATACTTGGAGGAGGGACAAATACAATCCATAGAACTCTCAAGTGTACCTGTATTTTGTACAACAACTTGGATATAAGCCTCCTTCCTCCACTCCTCCTCTCCACAGCCCCCACTGTAAAGTTCCATCTCACTGTAAGAAAAAAAGGCGAGTAAAGGTACTGTACTTCAATAATTCAATACTATAAACAAAAAACTTACCTGTACTATATATTCTTTGGTTTTTTACCCTCTTCCTCCTCTTTCTGCAGGATCACACTTGCCTGATGTTGAAAGCTCAAAAGAAAAGAAATAAGTATTATTTTTCTGTAAAGTAATGTGGTAATAATCAATCAGTACTCACCATTTTGTCCATTATATTTGTCACATATTCCTGTATTTAAGTCCCAAACAACAGGAAAAATGTGTGCTGTCGTTCAGTTGCCACACATGTTGCTTTGGCTCAGTGTTGCTTCAGAGACTATTGCTCTAGAATACAGGAGACATCAGAGGCGTTTCCTGCAGGTTGATGGATAGCACACAGGTCCTCGTGCAGAATATGGAGCACATAGGCCATGGTGCTTTGTCTCTTGAGCTGGGCACATGACAGTCCCACCTCAGGACCTGAGCCTGGACGTCAGGCAGACTCTGGGAACAAAGAAAAAAAGAACATAAATATATAATATACTTAGAGAGACAAATGCAATTCATTGTTGTCGACAACGTACCTGTATTTTGTATAACATGGATAGAAGCATCCTCCTCCACTCCTCCTCTCCACAGCCTGCAGTATAAAGTTCCATCTCACTGTAAGAAAAAAAAAAACGAGAAATAAATGTACTGTACTTCAACAACTTCATACTGTAAATTTATATAAAAACTTACCTGTACTGTATATTCTTTGTCACTTTGAGGGGTTGTTACTCGGGGATACAGGGGACATCAGAGGCGTTTCCTGCAGGTTTGTGGACAGCACACGGGTCGTCACGGAGAAGCATGGAGAGAACACAGGCCATGGTGCTTTGTCTCTTGAGCTGGACACGCGACAGTCCCACCTCAGGACCTCAGCAGCCCTCCTGACCCAGCCCGGACCTCGGGGAGGACTCTGGAACAAGAGGTCCTGTGCATATCTTCATTTCCTACTGAATCCTCAAATGTTCAAAAGAGCCAGACATACTGTATGATCTTGTTTTCTTTTCAAATTGGCTTCTTTGCTTTGACATGTCTCCCATTTCTGTCCCTATGAAAACCAAACACAAATGTATATAATATAGTCGGAGGAGGGACAAATACAATTCATAGAACTCTCAAGTGTACCTGTATTTTGTATGAAAAATATGGATATAAGCCTCCTTCCTCCACTCCTCCTCTCCACAGTCTGCACTGTGAAGGTCCATCTCACTGGAAGAAAAACAGACAAATAAATGTACTGTACTTTAATAATTTAATACTATCAATATAAAAACTTACCTGTACTGTATATTGTTTTTATCACGCCGACATTTTTCCCCTCCTCACGTTTTTCCCACTGTTTGTTTTTCCCTTATCCATGGAGAAGGTGCAAGAGCCTAGCTAAGGAGCTTAAAATGAAATCTAAAAATGCAAACTATTTACACCATAAAAATTACACCACACAAAATCTATTTAAAAATGTTCACACTAAAACACACACAGCAAACTATTTACAACATAATAATAACACACACACAAAATGTATTTAAAAACTGTTCACACGGCAAACTATTTACAGCATAATAATAATAATAACACCACACAAAAACTATTTAAAAATTGTTCACACGGCAAACTATTTACAGCATATAATAATAATCATGTGTTTTTTTTGTTTTGTTGTTTGCATTGGGTAGTTATCAAGCGTCACCCTTAACTGCAAGACTCCAGATCCTCTTCTGTGACTGAAACACAAACAGAAAGAGGATCAGTTCTTAAAATAAAAGGAGTACTTGTGTGTTTGGGGAGTAAATGGCCTCTGTGGCTCACTTGCCCTTTTCCAGTCCTTCCAGTCCTTCTTGCGCTCCTCCAGGTAGTCCTCCATCTGCACCACCCAGTCCGGCCTAGGTCCAGGGAACAGGCGGGCAGCGTCCAACTCCTCCAGCGGGAGAAGAGGGGCAGGGGCAGGAGAAGAGGAGGAAAGCTTCGGAAGCTTCGCAGGGCGAGCGGGCTCGGCACAAGCGGGGCGCTTCCGAGACAGAGGAGCACAGTGAGGATGCCTGAAACCAGGAAGCATAGTGTCAGGGAGAGGGATTATCTGAATGCCCCTGGCAGGAGCGGCGGGCGCAGGGCGGCGGGCAGCAGCAGCGGCGAGCGCAGGGCGGCGGGCAGCAGCAGCGGCGGGCGCAGGGCGGCGGGCAGCAGCAGCGGCGGGCGCAGGGCGGCGGGCAGCAGCAGCGGCGGGCGCAGGGCGGGCAGCAGCAGCAGCGGCGGGCGCAGGGCGAACAGCAGCAGGCACAGGGCGGCGGGCTGCAGGGGTGAGCGTAGGATGCACAGTAGCAGCAGCGACAGGGTCACTAAAAACAAAGGAAGAAGGCAGCACAGAAAAGGTGAGCTGAGGAGTAGGAGGAGGCATTGTGGAAGCAGGAGTTTGTAACGTTTGCGTGCGTATTTATGTATGTGTGTGTGTGCGTTTGTGTGTGAGGATTTAGAGCAAGAGCCGGGGTCCTGTGCAGGACGTCTGGACGCCTGATGGATCACCGGGCCAACGACCACACGGATCTGTGGAGAGGAACAGAACGTGTCAAACACCAGTGTTACCAGAGTTCACATCTTAAGAGTCCAGCAAAACCACAGCTGAGAACATAAAGAGTTCAGTTAACACTCCACATGGGGCCATATTCACATTTGGTGTTGCAATTATTATGGCAAAAATAACTGTGATTAATGATTACATCATGATAATTATTCAAGTTGCTGACAGTTAAAACAGCTTATATTTACATATTTAAATGACTGTACTTTGTTATAAATAAAAACTATTAAAAGTATTAGTAATAAACTATTAAAAGTAGTAGACTATATTTTGATTAAACTTAGGTAAATATGATTTTAAGCTCCTTTTTATTTGTTGTATAGACAACTTCTAAGACCCCCAACTGATTGGAGATCACTTAACTCAATCTATGAACATACCCATTCATTTGGGGACTATTTAAGAAATGGTGCATTTTTAAATTAGCTCAACATATGCTTTCATTTGACATGTGGAACTTGACATGTAAGTAATACCATTTATATTGTCAACCTGTGAACCGCAACAATGCTAAAAAGCACAAGGAAAATTCAAGACTTTCAGTATACCATTCAGTATACTTACTAGGATTTGGGATCTAAATTCTGGGTATGGGCAGATTTTAATTGAACAATACAGTGGACTGTAGGGATTGCGAGGTGATGTGTAATTTTATTTTGTCAGAGTCCAAGAAAATCAGGTGTATCTTTAAAAAAGAATTTTAGCCTGAACCATTTGGGAAAAGGCCTGCATGCCTAACTATAATGTTCCAATAAAAGCAGCAGGAGTTCTCCTCTAGTACCTCAATACATGTTTTATTTGCTAAGGTTGCTGTTCTACATGTATCGTCTCACTATAGTCACCCTATTATTAGGCTCTAGTCAATGGTCAGTTAAGTGACCGCTGGAACTTAACTCATTCTAGGTGGAATCATTGGAAAAACCATGACACCTACAGCAGATATTTAGTAGATTCGAAGCACAAGAGCTCACATTTCTTGGAATAAATATACCATAAAACATGACCTAGACACTGATAAAGGGGCATTTGCTGAGCTAATGATTGCTTTTTCAGTAACATGATGAAAACCCATAAGGCCTATGAAGCAGGAAAGTGTCAAACCTCACGTGCTCCTCAGAAACGTCTCCTAGTCCGATGCAGAAGGTTGTCAGCCAAAGTCTGGGTGAAATTCTGTCGGACTTGTGCCTCTTCTATTCAGAAATCGTCGATTTAATTTGTCAAATACAAGTTTTCGATCGCAGTCAAGGTTTGCAAAGTTTGCAGAGAGCGCGCATCACTCAAAAGATGCACTTAGCAACAGCAGCGCCGTGCGTGCGCGCGACGGCACAACGCTTACGTACAACTCTTACGTACGTCTGTGCAGTACGTGCTTCTTCCACTCAATTCCAAACTCAAAAGGTCCACTAACCAAAAGTCACGGTGTATGTCCAAACTTCAAACTTCTAACAAAAAATGTAGTGAATCCACATGGAACATCTGAACTATGCGCAAAGTACTAAATACACTACTAGATAGATAAATACTAAATACACTAGCTAGATGGCTACTTGAGCAAAGCTAAGGCGCTCTGCTCCCGTTCCTCCTGTACCACTGTCACTGCGCTTGTCTCTGCAGAGCCGCTCTTCTGTCTGGATCATGTCAGTCGATCGCACCAATACTTCTGTCCTACTGAACATTGAAAACTGTAATCGAGCAGCAGAAAGAAAGTTTGGAGTGAGCGAGAAACTTGTGAGGGACTGGCTAAAGACAGCTTCACGGTAACCGGGAGGATGCGCCATGCAACTTTCCTGGAAGTCATTGGACGGATAAAGCCTGGACTTCACCGACGACCGAAACCATCCTGTCGGGATTCAGAAAGGCTGGAATAATTCGAAGTGGAACTGATGCTGAGTGTGAAGGCAGCTACACAGAAGAGGAACGCGGCGCCCCGTTTACCCATGGATCTATTCAAATAATTGTCGTCGCGGAGTTGCTCAGAAGTGACACCGAGGGTGAAAAATTCTGTGAATTTAGGTAAACTTGTGATGTTATGTTGTTTATGCTACAGCTATCTGAATAACTTAATAGCTTACGTTAATGGCCTGTTGTTCTCTATTCTACTGTTATTACTATAACTTGCCTTTCAAGATAAAATGTGTGTTCTTGGTCTCTGATTTGATAAAACACATTTCCCCAAAAAAGTGTGACTTATAGGACTTATATGTTCTTTCTTCTTCAATATGCTTTTTTTTTTTTTTTTTTTTTTTTTTTTTTTGATATGGAAGCACATCCAAAAAGCACAGCAAAAAACAAAACTAAACAAAAAAACAACCAACCAACCAAACAAACAAACAAACAAACAAAAAAAAACACGCTGCTGTAAGTAGTAACCTATTATACAGATTTCAGAAAATGAACAATATATACACAGAAATAGCATAATAACTGAACAGGGCTAGAGTTTCATTACATTGCACATACATTAAAATACGGAACATGTTAAGGTCGCTGGTTACTATGACAGCCAAACTTTAAGTACTAAAACTGCACCAAAACTTCGGTCACTTTACATTGACTTCTCCTGGCAGCTACTCGTGTTCTCGTCGGCTCCTACAGTTTCACTCAAACTCTTCCAAAGTTTGACCGAAGCCGCATCTTGACCTGCTCCACAAAATAGTATGATGGTTTTTGGAGGAAATCTTTTGAAATTTTTCTGGGGCACGTTTTTTCAGTGGAAGGCATTTTTGGTGCAAAGAAAGTGTGTCACGGTAAAAAGTACATAAGCTACAACAAATTTTAAGATATTTCCAGATTTATTACATATTTGTTCATAAATATAAGAGAAAATTTCATGGATTTAAAAATGATTCATGAAATGACAGTCAGTTTACTCAAGTGGATATACGTGCGCGTCGGTTAAACAGACTTTTCTTCAGATTTGAAGTAATAAAGGTGTATTCTCTTTTATTTTTAACGTATTTTAATTTACTACTTAGACTTATTTAAGGAAACTCTAAGGTTAAAGCAGCTAATTACTCAGCAACATCTGTACAGTACTAAACATGGGACATGGGTGGATAGCATTGCACCATACTACCTTGTACAACACTGAACAGAGTTAAATTCACTTTTATTTGTCTTGTTCAATCACTACTTTCAGTCTACTTTGTCAAACCTACTCATACTATTGGTCCTTCAGGCTTTAAGTGAGTGGCAGGTGAATTCAACCGATCACAGACAAGTGTCAACTCCCAGTAGAAAAGAGTTTTAGTTCCCTCTCAAGGCAATGTAAAGATATTAGGTCCACATTCACACTGGTCCTGCTCTAGTCCTGGTTTTAGTTCTGATGTAGACTTGGTTTAGTCTTGTTCTAGTCCTGGTTTGGTTAAGTTAAACATTTCACATGGCCATTAAAATCAAAGAAATAAAAAAAATGAGTCAGTGCGAATCCAGTGTTTGCTACAGAGAAATGCCTCAAAATGTGACATGATGATTTATTTATGTTTCTGTTCGGCAGTAGCTCAGTTGGTAGAGCATTCGCCCACTGATCTGACGGTTGGCGGTTTGATTCCAGCTCTTGACATAAAACATCACAGGTTGAGCGGTCAGATCCACTGACCCACAGGTTGGCTGGTGTGATTCCAGCTCCCACAGATGAATGCTGTCGTTGTGTCCTTGGGCAAGACACTTAACCCACCTTGCCCACAGTGTCTGTGTACACTGGTGTGTGAATGTGTGTGTGAATGGGTGAGTGGTTCCTTGTTGTAAAGCGCTTTGAGTGCCTTAAAGGTGGAAAAGCGCTATAGAAAAATGTGACCATTTACCATCACTGACGTCCTGGAAGACC